TACTTAAACATTATCAGCGTCCCCAAAGCTTATGAACTTTAACTTCCAGAATGAAGGGCTTTCATTTTAACGCTGCAAAATGTTGAAGCACCCAAGGCACACAGAACTTCATATATTCGAATAATTTTGCTCTATATAAACTGCATTTAACCGCTCTTACTCGCTTCAATTTTCTTCCTTCACGGACTGTGAAGGTGCGTCGGATTGGCGCCACTGATAGCAGTTTTAATGAGGACTTCCAATTGACCGAATTCGTAATGCTTAAAATTTGACCATTAGCTATTCGAACAGCGCTAAAAGCAAATATATGTGGATTGAGTTTACCCTTCTGTGGGGCAATTTAAGGTAACTTCAGTCCGACAATTCTATCACTACCGGCTAAAGGTCAGTCACATCAAACTGTCGTGTTTAGGTGTCATTTTTAACATTTTACATTGCGCTTGCACTGCACTCTTGTTGGTACATGATCGTGGTGATGGAACATCGTAACAAGCAACTTTTGGCAGACTGATATTTACCTCACTCAGGCCCCCCTCCCCCTTCCCCCACCTCCAACTCCCTCCGACGTGTACACCACTTGCAATTGTCAGTCTCGAATCCAAGAGCCTTTATCGAAGGTAATTACTGATTTTGCTTCTGCACAGACAAGTCTAGCCATTGGGCATTTAATGCCATTCAAGGCAAATTGTGAGCTTTGCAGTGGATGGGAGAGTAGTTTTTACTACCATCAACATAGGAAAGAAGAGGTTGAACCTGTCAAAGGCAAGAGAGCTGGAGACAGGAGCCGAGTGATAAAAGTTGGGTTTGACTTTGAGAAGGTAGATGCAGTGAAACTTCTGCACTGATGGCAAACTTGGAACCATTTGCCCGTTTTTTGAGTCAACAATAGACGTGGTTTCAGAAGACTTCGGCTTGCAATTTATGCTATTATCATTTACAACTAGCAATCTTTTCTTGTATGTTATGAAGCATGCCCTGGGGTAGCAGCATCTTTGCAGACTGTCGTGCGAGGCCGCTTCAAGCGATTCAACTGAAAGAGACACCAGCACAGCTCATAGAGCGTGCAAAGATGGACGTGGCAAATGCGCTACGCTGCAGTGTGCACGATTGGAAGCCACCTCCTGATAGTGAGGATCTTTATTGCAGTCCCCCGAGTCATTTGGGTGGCGTGCAATTGCACCATGTCTATCTACGACGCCGGCTGCGTTCCACAACGGCTATCTTGCGTGATGTCATGCGAGAAGCGCGACTGCCAAGTCGACGCTATTTGTCCAAACTTATGCAGGTACCAGCCCGAGTCAAAACTCATCTCACTTGTCCTCCTACGCCTCCTCTTCCTTCGCCCATTCAAGAGTCGAAATTCGATGGGTGAGAACCCTCGATGACGCATTCTGATGGTATTCGGTGATGCTTGGGATCAACCCGCCATCAGTTGACAAGAAGATACCTTTACATATGAAAATATGTTTACTTTTGAAAATGAGGAGGAACTTGTAGTCAATTATCGGCCCAAAAGACTGTAAATTCCCTTCCCACACAAAAAGGCTCTT